AAATAACAAGTCGAAAGGTAAAACGACAAAATGGGCTGGAATCAGTCGCCGACGTATAATAATAGGACCTTTAAAACGGCCTTTTTTGAAAGTAAATCTTAAATTTAGTTGTTGAAATAATCATCTATTAGATCATGCCATTTTAGCTTTCGACTTGTCATTTTATTTAACGTTTCGCAGACATACGTTTTCGGATGCAAGGATGGATTACAAATTATCATGATCTCTCGATATTTCAATATGAAACAAGCCCATTTGTGGTGTTTGACAAAGACAGAAGAATTAGAGGTAGGGTTACTCTCATGTAATAAGAGCACAACAGAAAACGATATACTTTTTTATCTTCCTACATTTTTGTACTATTACGGATAAAATGTTAAAAATGTTTTATATTTATCTTTATAAGAAATTGAATCCACTTTTGGATATACAAGTGCATGTTTTTTGAGTTAAAAGAAGGTAAAATACGGGAAAGAAAGTCGTCTTGCACAAAAATTAAAGCTTATATTGAAGAAACACGTTTCGGGTGCTAACTAGTCCCATCTTCAGTATAGATAAAATACAGCAAAATAATAACTCTCCCGTATATCCCCCGTTTTATAAAATTTATGTTATTTACCTTACATTTCCAAAAATAATATGCCTGATCTGCAAACGGTATTTTTCAAGTGGTATAACATAAGTGCTTACATAAGTAACATATTTCTTAAAGACTACAAAAAAAACTTTTTAAACCTATCATCTTGTTAAGCTTTATTGAACACAAATTTTCTTGTCAATTATTTCTAGTCTTGTTTCAGTGTGTAGTTATACGGATTTTTTAAACTTTAATGCTTATATTAATGTTTATATTTTCGTTTTTTGATTAAATCTAATACTTGATGTTCCAAAAAACATTTTGCACTAATACTTTACTACTGTTTTACTAACAGGTGTTTTTTTTTTAATGTAGCGTCAAAGCTATCTATGAAAGTTTGATTGTGGATGAACCGTTATTGAAAGTTATTAATCTGACAGCTCGCCGGGCGTATGAAAAATTTGGTCCAACACACTCATATCACCGCCAACTATTTAAATATAAATTAAAGAAAAAATACATTGTTGGAATCTTTATTTTAAACTAAGAAAAATAAGAAGACCAACATTAACAAAATTGTTTTATTTACTTTCATTTAATGGTCGGCTTTCGGCAGCAAAACAACCGAATAACAAACGTGATATTTTACAAGGCAATTAATAATTAAAAGTGTTTTCCTTTTAAGTAAATGTTTTGACCAACTGGATGTATAACGAACTGTTTTATAAACAAACATTTTGTACATGGTATCAAGTAGGCTAAAGTAAATAAAGTTGCTAACTTAGAGTTTACGGGTATATGTACATTACCCAATTGCAAAACTTGTAAAAATAGTAGATTATATCATTTTAAGAATTAGAAGTGAGTTTGTTATTTTACCTTTTTTGAGATAATTTATCTATTAAATAAGTCGTGATTTCACTGTGTGAAATGCTTCAAATCATCTCATTTTTGACGCGGACATTTCAACTCCTAGGACTTGAGTATTTCAACTTCGCTCACAAAAAAGCCACTTCAACCATTTCTATAGAGATACATACATAAAGGCGCCATTTTCCACCGCTTGAAGGTAAATATAATAATTATTTAAAGTATAAAAGTATTTATTGTTACAAATTAGGTATAAATAAAATACAAGTCACTGATAGTTATTTAGATAAGTAAGTGTACCTAATAATAATTACGGTGTTCAGACACCTGTTTTGATGGAGGTGCCCTCATGTTGGCATTATTGTTTTATTTGTGTTTTTTTTTTAAATGTTTCAAGTTTATTAATTAAAATACCGGTTGTTGTGGTTACAAATACTTTTAAATATTTGGAAACTGAGACAGAAACCAAACAATATCTTATATCACAAGGTAAAATCCTTCTATTTTTGCTTGAATTTTATGATTTTGAATTACCAAACTAGTTTATGAGGGACTTAATGAGGGTGGTTGTAAAGCTATTGTTACTAATGGAACCACCCGTTGAAACAACCTCGAAGGAAACAAGCCTTTAGAATTGCGGGATTGGGGTTTCTTTATCGCTAAAAGCCCAAAAAGTTCATTGTCTTTATTGCACTAAAATACAAGCAAATTATAGACACACTTTAGAGAAAAGATTTTTTATAGCCGAGCTGTTTATTGCCGAGATGCGTAGCACCGAGGGAAATAGTAAATGCGAAGCTATAAAAATCTTTTCTACCATGTTCTATTTTTATTGTTACAAACTTCAACAGGTCATAGAACATTCAATTTTAAGACAAAAGTTTCTTATGATCATGTATCAAAAAATGTTACGTAAGCGAGCTATACCCCCTGAAAGAGATGCGTTTTTAATGGGGTTTTCCCACTATTGCAGAATAGATAAAATTACAACAGTTGATACAGCTGATTACTTTTAAACACCTGAACGAAAGATCATTTGTCGAAATTTTTAATCACGGGTCTCTTAAACGGTGAAACAAATTTATTTTTTAATTTTTATCCTTTTTATGGTGTGTGAGAGAAATTGTAAACTGATTTTACTCAAAAACGCTAAGTTTTATCAAAAAAACGCAAGAAAGCTCTTTTTTGTGAAAAACTATGAATTCTGTGGCTGAAAGTGACAAAAACCAACGCCAAAATAGTTAGGGTACTTTTTACCCTACACCCCCGCAGTTTAGGACGCCCCTGAGTAAAAATTTCGACATTTTATCTTTGAATTCATTTGGGTGTATAAAGGTTATCAGTTGTACCAAATTTTGTAATTAAATATAACCTTAATATAAATATGTACCTTAATTAGGGAGGACTTTGATCAACCTATTTAAGGCACTTTGATCAACCTATTTAAGGTGTACAATTTTACTTTGAAAGAGGTTTTTTCAAACTTTTCTGTCAGATTTTAATTTATTAACTAATTTGCTTTAAAAAATGTCGCTTATATTAATTGTATACGACACTTCGTTTTCGAGAAAAACGAGATTTTAGTGAGGATTGTATTAAATCGTGCACCAACCGAAGTCACGAATTTCATAGGCTATGAAAAACAAAAAAAAAAAACTCGCATTTCATGTGACAGATAAGAGTACTCTGTTGTTACCTATGATTTCTTTTAAATAATCTCGAGTGTTATTTTCGGACATATTAACTTTTTTTCTTATTTTGTCTTCTTACTAGAAAATATTTTAATGTTTTTTTCAAACACCTTGTATATTTTTTTAAAACTCATCGAGTAAAAATATAAAATAACATCTGCGTAGAAAGTATTGGCAGACGCGTTTCAAGTCATTATAAAGTATTTAGATTATATCACAAAAAAAGAGAGAAATACAAGGATATGACGTGTATGGACATAATGCTTCCTCTGGGTAGCAATTTTTCAACATTTGTAATTGTATGTTTTGATATTATCACATCATATTTCTATTGGGGGAATGAACCAACACTGCAACCAGTGATAAAATAATATTTACATAGAGCATATCCATCCATTATTATTATAGTGTAGTTATAACTCATGTGATGGAAACTCATTTTCGATGGCAATGCGAACATTCAGGTGAAGAGAGGGAGTTATTTTCATTATGTTGGTATTTGCGCACCAATGCTATACATTTCCGTTTTTATTGTTCTGTTTGCTTTTGATGCTTTTAAAAAGACTCTAATATTCCTGTCATTATAAGAACAGACGTATAATTTATGAACAAGCGTCAAACTCAATTGCGTCGAATAATAATGCTATACAGGGTGTTCTGGTTAAACCCGACATCGGGAGTTCTGACAATGATATTTATCTATGGCATATAGCCATAATCGGTTAAGTTCCGTTCAACGAAAATATTTTCACTGAATTGATTATACCGGAAGTGGGTGCCAACTTTGTTATTTTAAATAGAAAACTGTTTTTTATTGCGTTTTTGGAGAGTTTTTATCAGCCTTCCCTATATCTAAGTTTAACTTTTTTTGAATTATTCAGATTATTTTGAATTTTTTTGATTTGCATCTTCCTCTTCTAAAATTGGTAACTCTTTTAAAATTTTAAAATCATATTTAGGTATATTAAAGAGAAATTGCAAAAACGACTAAACTTAGGTTTATGGAACGTCGATAATAACTCATAAAATAACTCGGGAAATCAAAAAACACAATAAAAAACGTTTATTTTGTACTCAATGTTAAAGAGTGCTTTTATCAACTAATGTCAGTAGATAAAGTAATCTTTTATCGTCTCGTGAAATAAAGTAATTTTTATCTACTGTTTATATTCAAGAAATTCTGGTAGGTGAGGACAAAATAAAACGAAATATTATTCTCGGGAAAAAAGTCCACTCGTGACTTCGTCACTCGTAAACTTAACCTTTTCACTCGTAGATAAACAATTTCTTTATCGTCGTCTTGTATAATAAATAACTAAGCTTTCTATTTAATAACAAAGTTGATACCCACTTCCGCCATCTTGAAAATATTTTCACTGCAGAACCTAACCGATTAGATATTAAAAAAAAATTAGATAAATATTATGGTCTGAATTCTCAATATTTCGCCGGAACACCCTGTATCTTTAATAACATTATTATTTTTTTTATAAACCATTTAACGTTTATAAATTTTAGAGAATGTTGTACGACGGCGAAATATACAAAGCAATGGTAGTTTGTACTCCAAGGATAGATCATCTATTTTTAGGTAAACAACAGCATTAAAAGTTTATTCCTAACGAAAATCATACATTGTAACGGTGCACCTGACAGTCGCAAATAAATCTCGCTGGTTTGCAATACATAATAAAATAAACTGCCACTAAAAAGCCTTTAAATAGTATTTCTTATTTTATAATAATGCTTTTTTAACTCAACGTTGTCTCTTCGGTTTAAAATGCGTGAAGTTAGTGTTGTATTAGAACGTGTCAGGAAACCGGAAATTGGTCTTTCTAATTGGTTATTTATTCTTGTTGCAGAATGGTATTAGAGCCCAAGTTCGTTGACTATGGTAGTATCCATCCAACAGCAGATGTGCCTCAGCTTCAACAGCATAACTCTTCACATGCCTTATTGAGCCCACGCTCAGTCCTATCTCTACCTCCTCTCGACGACGAGGAACCGCCAAATACCTCCAAAGGAACGAATATGACGCAAGGTATATTTATTACACTAATCAGTAAACATTGCCACCGACAATAAGATTGTGTGTGGTAAAATGCTCTGTTCATGTTTATCAGTCTAAAAGTGTAGACCTCTTCCTATTGTTTAGTTTGATAAACAAATCAACGACAGTAATAATAGTTGATTAAAACTGCAGCAAATTATTTAACATTTAACCTGTAGCAATTGTATTGAGTATTGGTTTCTAGAAACATAAGTTATTTGCAATCAAACGTCAGATTAACTGATCACATGACTAAATTGAACCAACCAGATACTCAGATTTACGGGTTAATCGCGCATTAACTTTTAACAACGAATTAATTGTTAATTCGCCTTCTAAAACCTTCTAAACCATCCCTTAGTATTTTTTATTTGATTTTACATTAATTTCGTCTCGAAATACTTGCGTTAGTATTCCGTAAATAATAATAATATTCTAGATATAATTTGTATCAATTTACCCACCTCTAATCCATCATTGACCACTAGGAGAATAAAACAACTTCACAACCTCTCAACAAACTAAAATAATAAATGTACCTTTTATTAGTAGTGAAAAAAACAAATCGGAAGTGATTTTGCGTAATTTTATTTAATATGAGTATCAAGCCCTGAATTTGTGTTTATTTTTGAAAACTTTAATCTGTTTCTCGGAAAACTATAGTACTTGCTTTTCGCTTTTTCAATTAATCATTTAATATAAAAAATTGCAATAGTGTTACGCCTACATAATCACATAGTCGGTGGTTGAATAATTTCTAACAATCGATTCATTTTATAGTATAGTAAAGGTCATATTCCACCCACTTGCTCTTTTTTTTATCTGGTGATGTGATTGTTTTGCCCTATATACAGGGTGACTTAAGAGGTGATATTAGAGATCAAAGAGAGCCAAAATAACTTAACGGGCAGAATTTAAATGTGTGTGTATACTATTGTAAATATACAGGGTTATTCACGGGAGGGTTATTTCTGAATTTTTTTTTGCCGCAACCAACAATACCAATCTCACAAACTACTAAATTAAATATGTTATTTCTTTAAAATTACAAATCAAAGTAAGTTGGATAAATTTGCCAGAAATGTCAGATTGACAGATAACCTATATTTAATCAAAATTCAACATATAAATTAACAAGTTAAGTTAATATAAAAGGTTTTTGAATTGTCTACCATCGACTTCTAAACATGCGCCTAGTCGGTTGGTAAACATAACAAAACATGTCGCATCGTTTGAGAGATAATTTTTTTACTATAATGTCACAGAGACAAGACTGATAACAGCTATCGTGGATTTAGTTATAATTATTTTCAAAATTTGAAATCAAGAAGTTGTTGCAATATGTATAATGGGTTGCGGCAAAAACAAATTCAGAAATAACCCTCTCGTGACTAACCTTGTACATATACCATGCGTTAAAATAAATTTTTAATAACAGTGGCCTGTAACTCTGAAATTAACACAAAAGATAGTTGGTTACACTGAATTATTGATAATACACATATTAGGTTATTTCACTTAACAGCTTTGCCAACGGCCGCCCATGATAGTTGACTATAAAACTGTGCCAATACTCGACTACAAAAGTCACAATCATTTATTGCCAACTTAATTTCAAAGTTAGTTGATAAGAAATTTAATAAATGCATGGAACTTTCAGAAGTGTTACTGAAAAATAATATTGGCTGCTACGTTTCAAAAATATTTCCAATTTTTACTAACTTATTATCAGCGGCGCTTGACATTTTTTGCTGGCGCCCATGTTCTGGAACACCCTGTATGTGTACATTGTATATTTGGAAAAATACGTTTATAATGGTGGTATTTGATTTGCATTTGGATTTGATTATCATTAGCATTATATTATGATAATAACTTAAACAAATATGCGAAAATGAGTTTATAAGTGTAAACAAACGTGTTTAAAAAACAAAACAAAATTTTTTTCTTATTGACTTTTTTAAATTCTTTGTTTTGTAGTTTTCATAGCTTGTTTCAAATTAAACGACGGTCCTCCAGTAGTTAAATGTTTTTTTATAATTTCCCACAAAATACAATATGAAATTGAAATACACAGAAAAAGGAATTTAAACACACAAATCTTCAAGGCACTAAAAATGCACGACAGAATAAGGCAATGCATGACAGTACAAAATTCATAGATAACGTCGTGAAAACAATGATTGTCACACTGAATTATAATTAATTTAGTATTAATTTTTGTAATAATAAATTTAATATTCTTGCGCAGGGTACATAATAAAAGATTTGAATGTGTTTTTGGGAATTTTAACAAAATAACTATATTATAATTATACTTTTTTTGTTTTTTTTTTATTAGTTTTTCTCCCTATGTTATTAATACTTTATGATGCATAATTAAAATGTAAATAAACAATAAAAAGTATGTATACCATTGCGGACAAAATATTATGGTCATCATTTTTCACTCACTTCAGAAAAAATAATGTAAACCAAGCATTAACATCAAATCAACATTGATGACAATTTAAAATTATTGACTTTTCTCTTGTCAAAAATATGCAATGATGAGTCTGACAGTGACAGTTAGTAATAAGGGTTGATGACAGTTACTGCCAAAATTAAAGTTGTAAAGGACGCATTAGGATAGTTAACCTCATTTTTTACTACAGTAGTAAATGACGTGCATCAAGTAGGTTGTAGAAGTCTAAATACATCTTTAACTTAAAGACTGATTCACACAAAAAGAGTCATTAGAACAAATTTAATCACATCAATAAAGACAAAAATCTTTATGTTAATTCCGTGTTAGGTAATTTTAATAATTTTTTGGTACCTTGGGTACACATTTATTTGAAAAAAATAATTTGTAGGGAAGATTGGGGTTAGGATTGTTTGAATTTTTGCATGGTTGCCACCTTAAAAATAATCCCATTCAACGACTACTTCGATGCGCATTAATATGAAAACAAGTATACATTTTTACATTGAAAAATAACAAATAAACTGTAGTTCTATAAAGCTTAGTTGCGGATATACAGGGTGATAAAGTTTGATTATAAAAATTTAAATACATTAGTTTCTTTGAAACCACTTGACATTTTACAGGCTTTGTGAGCCATTGAAAGGGCTTATTTTCCGGCAATTATTTTATTACTCTTACCAATACAAATTAAGTAAGGAGAAGTCTCTAAATAACCTTTAGAAAGTCGAACTTAATTCACAATAATATCTTCTTCACGTTTTTTTTTTAACTTGTAATGTATGTAATTTGTTTACACTATAATTAAGATTAGACATTACAAACAAAATTTAAGTTTTACAGTTTAGATACCTTGAATCGGATTTTTTTCTAATCAGTGCTAACATCTAGTTTTCCTTGAAGGAGATAATGTAGAAAATGAAGAAATTTCGGTGGTTTTGCGTAAGAATTTAAAGTTTAAAATTCTTGTTATAGAAAAAATAGTAAGTGTATTTAATACAAAGAATTAATTCGGGAATTCTCTGTGCTGTTGATTGATTAAAAAACCCCTCCTCACAATGTGAATCTTCGTGTTCGCAGGAGATTTATATCAAAGACAGCCTTTATTGCCTAATCCGGGAAAGTCCGACAAATGGGGCCACGACGCACACAATTCCTCCGGCCAGGAGTACTACGAGGACGAAGACGATATCATTCAAAAAACAAACGAGAGTAATGGTGTTATCAAAATCAACATGCCACCTCCTATACGGGAGGAACCGAGGTTCCCACAGGAACGATGGAAAACCCTGTTAGGTATGTAAATCGTATGTTGTATTGTTTGATAATGCCATCACTTTTGCGTCCTCCCAACAGAAAATAAAGTGACGCTTTATTCCCTCAGGAATGTAATAAATAAAATTTCGATTTTAACTCTTAATATAAACTGAAATTGAAATTGCAATTGAACGAATTAAACATTTTAACAAATTTATCATTTTCTTTTTAATTCAATTTGTTGGGAGGAAAGTTTTGTATGCATGTCTGGAAAAAACATCGTTCCTTAATCTCTCGAATGAAAATGCCCTCGGCTCCCTTCGGTCGCCTCTGGCATTACCTACATTCTCGGGATTAAAATAGTTGTTTATTCCCTTGATACATAAATAACTATTATTTTAAATATTGTCGTACAAATTTTTCAGCTGCGATAATTATGGCCTTTAACTTTGTATTGACACTCGTGTCTTTGTCACTCGTACATGAACGGGTACCGGATCGAAAAGTTTATGGTCCCCTTCCTGATGTGTTACTCGACAACGTACCTGCTTACGACTGGGCTTTAGATGTATCAGAGTACATTATCATAGTTTGTGTAAATTCGTGTATCATCTCTATCTTTTTTCACAAGCATAGGTAAGGATCCTCACTTAGCGATAAATTCTTCCAGAATTAAAGCAAAGTGTCCTTGTTTTTTAAGTACGAAACACAAGTTAAAATGGCAATGAATCTAAATAAAAATTCAATCGTAATAGAATTTAATTAAATAGTAATTGAAAAAAAAATGCCAATTTGGGAACTGTTTTCTTTTTAAACTAAATAATACGTCCTTCACATAGAAAAAGAAAAATGTGCAAGAGAAAACAAAACATGTAGGAAACAAAACTGAAAAAGTACGTATTTATGAAAAATTGATTTAATTATATTTAGGTATAACTAAGAAATTATACTCAGAAAGCAGAACACTGAATTTTATTTGAATATGTAGAAAATTGGATTTTTATTACTTCAAACTCAGATTAATTGATTTAGGTAATATTAATTGTAACAAAAAAAGTTAATAATTTGTTTACTTTTGTGATTAAAATAGTGGTTCAAACATTGGTGAACTGTTTTAGTGAGCTTGAAAAAAATATTTCACAAGATATTTATTAAATTTTGATATTTTGCATGCAAATGCATTTGCATTTCTCTTAACAAAATCAAATGTTGTCAATGTTTGTGTCAATTTGACTTTTCATAAGTAGTTCATAATCCGTTAATGTTTTTTACACATTAAATTTTCAGAGGCATTATTCGTAAATACCTCATTTGGTAATCGCGGTGCTAAATAATTTTGCAAATTGGCGGCCTTGCTTTATTAAAAATAATGAAATTATTATTTTAGGACAGGAATATTTATTAAATTAAATGAAAAACCGAAACTGCCACCTCTTTTTAGTAAAAATACCTTAAATGAATTTACATATTTGACATGAAAGGACTAGTTACAAAAGTATGCATTTTTTGTTTTTAAATGTACAATTAATTTTCAACCGACAAAAAATAAAAAATAAACATTGTAAACTATAGCACTTGGATTAAAAAAGTATTAACAAATACGCATATCTGTCTAAAAAGTTTAAAATAAACAATAGAATGAATTATAATATCATCATGTCCTGACGTCAAGGATGACATTCTTTTCCAGACAATTGTTAATCAGTTTTTATAAAGTAGATATTATTTCTTTCACAGTTTCCACTCATCGTAAAGCATTACTATCACTAGAAAATGTAAACTTGTCTGCGGTTTTGGTCTATTTAAAAATCAAATAAAGAAAATTTCATCATTCAATCGATTTTTTTTTCATTAAGTCTTTCTTTCAAGAATTATTTACCAATTTATTTCAATAAAACTTACGCCTTTACCCCTTTACCCTTTACTAATTTAAAAATTTGATATCACCATGAGATTCTTTATTTGTATTGCTAGATGTTTTTTTACATAAAAAATAAACCGATTAAAAGGTTTTTTTCTCGAAGAAATCTGCGAAAATTAATAAATAATGCATTGTGTGTACATTTTTTGTTTTTTTTTTAAATGTCCCTAACTAACAAGGAATTTGAAAAAGTAACTACTGTTACATGACTGACTAACAATAACATTTTTAGAATAATTATTAAAAATGATCAATTATGTCTATTAATCAAGCAGACCAGTTTTAAATCTTTTTATTTTAAATAGAAATGAACTTTGAAATGCGTGGCTATAAAAATCTCCGTCTTTTATACATACTTGGTGTCCCAAAAGTCGCGTACCAGAGAAAAATGTTAAGTAAGGTAAGATACCAAGAACATGAAAAAATCTATTTATCTACATATAAGAATTTAGAAATTATGAAGATTTAAGTTTTGCACTTTGACCCCATTTATTTCTGTTGGAAAAATAATTTTACATGTTTTTTATTTCGAAATTTTTATAGAACATTTTTTCATATTCCTGTTATCTTACCTTAAATGGTATTTTTTCCCTAGAGCGCGCGTTCTGAAACAGCCTGGATTTAACTAAAAACTCAAAATAATGTGAGAATTTGCAGAATTTTGACATTCCACGACATAAGTTGCTTGAAATATCTCAACAAGAATTTAAAAAATGCATAAAAATCTGCAATTTTTGATTGCCGGTTTCATCTTTTGGTTCTGTTATTTCTTAAAGGTATTATTTGGCTTGCCTTTTGATCAGTTGAAGTAAAATAAATAAAAATAAAATAAATTTGATGATATTCACACGAGTATCAATGACCCACTGCTTGTAACTTTACAGTTAATTTTGGTTTTAAATACACAAAAATATATAAAAACAAAAATAATAGATGTGGGGAAAAAACTATTAAACTAGACAAATAACGGAAATTGCGAGTGGTTTTTTTTATTGTTTTTTTACTAAAACAATATTTACCACAGTAGTTCGGTTACGACCATATTTCATATTTGACAAAATGGAATTTTCAAGTTCACAGTTCAATTTTCTCGTCAGATTTAAGTCAGTAGTAACGAGGATTAAAAAAAATAATAGATGAGTGGAAAACGTGATACCTAAATGTACTTAAAGGGATTCACACGTCAAGTTACAGGAAATGGAAAAAGGTTAACAACCTTAAATAAGCAACTTGTGAAATCACTGAAACGAAAATGAGAGTGACATTTTTTAAATTCCGCTATGCGTGCGTGTGTTAATAATTGAGCCATATAAAATGAATAACACACAAGATTTTTGGCTGAAGACTTTTATTAAACAATCTGAAATAAATTTTTCATTAGATTTCAATCACAAGGACAAGTCAAAAGATTCATAATGACTATGACGCACCACCAAGTACAATGAACTAGTAAAAAAAAATTCACTCATTCGGTAATTAAAAAAGTTGTGTAAAGTGGCATTATTTTAAATAAATTTTCGATAATAAATGTGTCTGAAGGATGATGGTTGTTGGAGTTTTTAGCGCACAACAAATTTTTCCACAGTTGTTGCTTTAATTCTGGGACATTAACTTTGCACAAGTTGTCAATTCCTAAAAATTAACTTCTCTTGCAGGTTTATAGTATTTAGGAGGATGTTTTTAATAATGTCTCTACTGTACATGTACCGATCCATCACCATGTACGTCACAGTGCTACCAATCGCTAGTAAAACGTATTTTTGTTCACCAAAATCAAACGAAACTTCTCCTTTAACAATCGCCAAGCGAGTTCTTAGCCTCATGTCCGGATTCGGTTTATCCGTCAACGGTAAACATGTTTATTGCGGGGATTTTATCTATAGCGGCCATACAGTCATTTTAGTACTTAGTTACCTCTTCATCGCGGAATGTAAGTACAAATTTAAAAAAAAAAAACGCAATAATGAAAGATTCACAATAATTTTTACAGACACTCCGAAAAAATTGTATCCTTTGCATTGGTTTTATTGGGTTTTGGGAATCGTGGGGGTTGTGATGCTTCAACTGTCACATGGACACTACACTGTAGACGTCATCATAGCTTATTTCATTACAACTAGGATTTTTTGGACTTATCACACACTAGCCAACAATGCTAGTCTTAAAGTAAGTATAGTGACATACAGGATGTCCGAAAAAACATTAAAATATTTTGTGACCTAAGGAATCACCCCTTAAAATCCTTTCATATTTTTTTCGGACACCTGTATATATTATATAATTACTTTTATTATTATTATAACAAAGTTAATTGTATGATTTTTCAGCAACATTCGCCGAATAATTTGTTGGGCCGCGAGTGGTGGTACTGTTTCTTTCTGTATTTCGAAGGGAACGTTGGAGGCCCCATTCCAAGACAGTTCGATTGGCCTCTGCCGTGGCCCCGGAGGTTTCATTCGAAAAGTCGGGATAGTTAGTGCAGTGTGTGTTTGAAAAAAAAATGGTTAAAGACTTTATCAAATTTTATTATATGTGATAAAAATAATGTGTAGCGCCTTAAACTGACTTGCTCTTTATACATATTTATCTATACTGTTAGATTTTTCTGATATTTTTATTACATTGTATTTCAGTGAAACAGTACATAAACATTTTTATAAGGATGGGATTCATGTTGTGTATATTTTTGAGTTTGCATTTATTGAAAGTACAGATGATTTAATAGGGAAACTAAAATTGTTGTAAAAATTGTGCCAAGTGTAAAAAATTATGTAATTTTCTTATTAAATCATAATTGTAAACAAAGTTCCATTTTTAATTTGTGATAATAATAATGATAGAATGCAGGTTTTTTAAATAAAATTGTTAGCTAGAAACCTATTTTGTTACAAGTGTACAATGGAAATTACACTTAACTATTTTCAAAGACACGCATTTAAATTTGATCAGAATCTCATAACCATTCAGAAACGGTACTGAAACATTTTATACTCACATTTTCAGTTAAATGAAATATCTGTCAAGGAATTGGTGTTTCTTTGTGATAGAAGTTGGAAACAACTTCACCTTATGTAGGTTAAAGAAATATTATAAGCTTTTTAGATCTGTAAATGTAATACTTTAGGCATTAATAAAACTAAAGTGTCACTCTCTTGCCTAAAATAATCTGTTCAAATTTAAGTTATTTTATTTTTTGTATATGTTGTCGCTGTTTTGAGTTTATTATTAATTGAAAATAATAACCAATGAAAATTAAATTTTTACCATTAATATAGTTTTAGATATAAATAATTTTTATCTCACATTTGTGATGGTTTGTAGTTGCAAAGAATACTATATCAATGTTGATTTCATATTATACATTGTTGAAATAAACAGATATTTTATTCATTTTCTTTTATTTTAAATCAATCTAGCTTGTGTTTTTCCTCACCTTGGCTAAAAAAAGACACCATATCTTATTTTTAAAATGTTTACGTCCCAGAAAAACAGCAATAAAAATGTAGTTTTCACGACGTTGGTTGTAAAAATGTGCTCAGAAACACATAAAAGTTAATAATATAAACACTTATAGATACTTAGTAGCACCAACACCGTTGATCGGCCCCACTAACCAATCACAGTTAAAATACAACAAACAAAATTAAAAACAAATCGAATATAAAATTTAACCCGAATCTTCAAATTTAATGCGAAAATCACTGTCATCATTACTTTTTTTCAAATTAAATCTTTATTGAACATTTTACTGTCTGCACAACTGTCAAAAAAAATCAAAAATTATACAAATTTTCAATATAAATCTTAAACTGATTATTTTTTTACAATGCACTCAGCAAGCATCATGGATTCTGATTCGTCGTGTTATTATGAAACGACTTACAGTGAAGATGAAAGAATTGGTAAAATTCAGTCTAGTTCATTATTTTGTATTGACCTTCATGTAATTCCCACGTTTTTTCTTCTTTGTAGAAGCAGCGCTCGAAGAAAAAAGAAGAAAACTGCCCCAACGTGCCCAAGAAGTCAATTTGGCACGACAAAAATTATTTGATGATTTCGCCGAATCCAACTTAGAGATCTTTAATTTACCAGGCCTCAAATTCCACACATTTCGACACACAAAAATCAAATTTTCATTCCATCCAGCATCAGTCACGAATTTTGTCATTCAAAATGTCAAATTTTACATTTCTCTTAAATACGTGAACAAATATTGGAGGGTAAAACGAGATTCACTTCCAAGTAATTTCAAATGGAAAATATACAGTTTATTTTATAATGAAAACACTTTTGAAATTGATGATGAAAATATTCTAGCAATTTTAATGAAAATTTACAAACTACTCGTATCATGGGCACAAAATGAAGAACAATTTCGTTTGGACAAATTTGAGGTAGGATAACTTATTGTGTGATAATACTGATTATTTAAGTTCACTTTTTTTTATTAATCAGAGGTACAAGAAGGGTGAAGATGTGGAATTGGATTCGGACGACGAACAGTTTTTTTTAAATCAAGATGAAAGAAATGAACGTCTTGCGAAGAAAACTAAAATACTTCGTCGCATGATACCACCAAACAGAAGAATATAAACCAATCTGAAACAGTATTACGATTAGTATTATGTATTATTATTATTCATTTAACTTAATTATATTTAACTTTTAAAGCTGTTTTTTAAAGGAAATTCCCAAGTCAAAATTTTGGTGAAAAAATTCGTGGCAACATTTTGTGTTTGACCCTAAAAATTTTAAAATCCTTTGGTGCCGATTTTAGACTCTTTCCTGAATATTTTATGTAACTTTAGTGACGATTTCATGAAATAGTTATTTATACGGAGGAGATACAATGATGGAACAGCTGGAAATAAAAGATAACCTACTTCATAATTATTTATACAGGGTGTTATGTAAAATCTCTTGAGGAATTCTTCCTTCAAACAACACTTAACGATAAGACGTATTTTCTGTTTAAATAAATAGAGCCAAAATAAAATTTGGACTTCCATAATTTCGAAACTTTTGTAGATGAGATGATTGTAAAGAGCAACACTAAAATTAGCAAGTAAATGAACAAAATAATCAGGATTTTTGCAACTAATGAAATCATAACACATAACAAACATCATGCGTCAATATCGTAATTTGTGTTGAGGTTTTCGAAAGTGTTTATTAATTTAATTAGTGCAGTTAGTAGTGCAAAATGTCAAAGCTAATCATCGACAGTGTACAGTTGCTGAAGCAGCGAAAGAAGCAACATTAAAACTTTTACTTGTGACATTTAGTTATAAAAGTAGCCACTTTTGTGACTTCTGCGAATAAAAGAAATTTGTAAAGTTGTTAATATAATTTTCATGCCGTTTAATTTTATATAGATACATTAGAGTTCAACGCATGTGAAAAGTTTTAACAACATTTATGTATCTAAATCAGAAGTCTATTTCTACATATAACAAAAGTAAATATAAAAGAAATTTTTTGTCATTTTCATGCAATGTTTACTCTACTTTAATACTTCAGCAATTTTCTTCTGGTTTTCTGTGTTTCATAAAATGTTTGAGACTTTAGTTTTTTTACACTTGTCAAATGTTTAGAGTTCAAACTTATAAAATTTTACCTTTAAACATTTTTTAAATTATTAAATTAGCCTTGAATTTTATTTCCTGGTCCAAATTATTTACTTTTTTTATGGATCAATCCCGAGAGGCGACCGAATTCCATTTGAGGAATTAAAATAGTTGACAACCAAGATATAAATCACACAAAACTGCAATACAACAATTTATTTTCCCTTTTATAAACTACAAAAGAACTAATGATTTATAGGAGTAAAATTTTGGATAACTTCCACAATGGTAACAACTTCAGCCATTGCCCCTGCACCAGTATCCCCACACATGAGAGTTTTTTCAATAACAGGCACTTCTATATAACCCCAAGAAATTAAAGTGCTTATTTGTGTTGCTGTAAGAGGATGTTGAAACATTTTGGTATTCATAGCAGGACAAAAAATTAATGGTTTTGATAATTCCCATGCTCGAGCAGTACAAGTTAAAAGATTATCACATAATCCCTATAAAAAAATAAGAAACAATATATCTACTTTAATACATTTATCATACATTTGCAATTTTTGCTAAAGTATTTGCATCCAAAGGAGCAATAACAAAAATATCAGCCCATTTACTTAATTCAATGTGTAAAACAGGATCGCCCCTTTTAGTCCATCCTGCCCACTCATCAGAATCAGTAAAGACTTCAGCATCAGGATGAATGTCTTTCTGATCAAAAAAGTGTTTAGCTCGTTCAGTTACCACAATGCGAATCTAGAAAAACACATTACGTTGTATTTGTCGCTTTATTCCCTTGGGAATAAAATACATGAAATCCCAACTTTTACTATTAAAGTAGGTAACGCCAGAGGCAACCGAAGAGGGCCGAGGGCATTTTTATTCGAGAAATCAATTTACTACTAATCAAAAATCCTACCAAGAGATTGTAAAGTTGTTTTTCTCTCCCAATAATCACCGTTTGATAAATTCACCGTTTTGATAAATATAATTTAATAATTATTTATGTTTATTATTATTTATTTAATAATGTATTATATGTATAAAAAACGGTAGAAAACAGGTTTATAGCCTCACATTTATTATCTTCCTCGATGCTACGCACCTCGGGTAATAAATAGCTCGGCTATAGAAAGTCCCTTTTCCACCTTGTGATATAATATACTATTGTTCTTTTGTTATAAGAGTAAAATAAAATTATGTAAAAAAATTAGTAAAAACTGGTATTTCATTGATTTTATTCCCGAGGGATTAAAGTGTCACTTTATTCCTTCTTAAGAGGGAAAATTTCTTACCTTAATTTGAAGATGCTGCAAGCCTAATAAACTGTTAACCAAAAGTGGTAACTTTATGGTGGCAACACTGCCTGTACAACCTATAAGAATATTAACCATTTTACTCCAATTCTAAGCCCAATTTTTTCCACTCTTCTCTTGCCATCAAATTATTGTCCATGCGACAAGCTAAATAGTCTCGAGCTTCAATTCTACACGCGGAATTGTCGTTTTTGTTTACATTCAAACACTTCATGTAATTTATCATCAATTTTCGACAAACACCGTCATGATCCAAGGGAAAACTTCCTTTTTCTGGGGGTGTCGGCGTGAAGGTTTTTTGACCAAATGTCATAGACGACATTGAACGAATTTTTAAACAATTAATTTCTAAATGTTCGTTTCATTGAATTTAACTCAACTTACTCAGCCCTAACCTCAATTTCGTTGACAATTGACAGCAGGTTGACATTAGCGATAATTTCGAACTTAGCAAACGGATTATGTTCAGGATGTGTAGAAATTCGATAACAGAGAAATTGGGGTTTATCTAAGTTTTCTAATATTTTTATTTAATCAACTATCAAAGGATTAATTACATGTGAATAATTTTTTTTTGTACTAGATACTTAACTGAAAACATGTTGTGAAAAGAAATGGGAAATGGGTGGATCGTGTGTGCGGCGCGAAAACCCACTGTTTCAAAAAGATTTTTAATGAATACTTTTTAATCAAATTTGGTATGTGATCAATCACAAAGTGTTGTGACGATTTAATTGTTAAAGTAAAAAGCATTGTGGAATATTTTAAACGAAGTGCAACAGCGTTGGCCAAATTACGGGAAATGCAACAACAGTTAAACACACCCCAATTAAAATTGAAACAGAATGTGCCAACAAGATGGAATTCAACATACGACATGCTGTCCAGAATTTTAAAAATTAAAGAAGCAGTTATTACCTACTACATTGGCTCTTTCAAATAGATATGATATTGAACAATTTTTTTTTCAGTATGACGTTCTAACAACAACCTTTGCCACTTTCAGGGAGATTGACACCTTATATGAAGAAGATTGGGAAGAAATAAAACAAACAACAGAAATTTTGGAGATATTCAATGAAGTAAGAATTGAAATTACTAGTGAAAAATCAGTTTCAATTTCTAAAATACTCTACTTCATTAAAGTTATGTTTCATCAAGTTTCACCTGAAATATATCCCGACAATGTTTTAAAACCGCGGTGTAACTTGTTAATAGAATAGACGAAATTAGAGCACAATTGAAATCTCGGTTTGATACCTTTGAAGATAATGAACTTATTAAAAAATATGATAAAGCAGTTGAAGCTCTAAAATTAAAACTTTCAACACTAATTTCCTCCAACCCTTCGAATGTCTCTGAAGTTTCTGTTGAGGCCGACGAGGCAACCACAAGTGAAGATAAACAATCTTCGTCACGTTTGTGGGAAGAATTTGACAAAGAAGCTAAAGAAAGCACAATTATGGATCCGCGAGCAGCAGCAATTATTGAAATAGATCGCTACATACGATAGCCGTTACTTAATAGGCGTGGTGATCCCTTAACCTAGTGGAAAGAAAGGCAAGTTTTATTTCCGAATTTATTCCACTTAGTGAAGAGAAGACTGTCTATTGTTGCGACGTCTGTGCCTTGCGAACGTCTGTTTTCTAAAAAGGGTCAAGTTCTTTGCGAACGGATAAATCGTTTGAGTTCTAAAGAAGTATCCCAAATAATGTTTTTAAATTGTAATCTACAGTCCGATTAATTATTAATTTATTGTATTGTTTTTTATATTTTTAATGTTGGTTTTACTTTTTTTTTAATTTTTTTATTTTTTCATATTTGCTTGTTTAGTTTTAGTTTTTCTTATATTTGTGTTTAGTATTTTAATAAAAATGGTTTACTTTTTAAAGTTCGTTTCTACTTTTTTGTACAGGTCACAATGTTCTCTGTAACGAAATATCAACAAAGAAACTGGTTTTAATTCTTCATCAAACACCCAATTTTCCACCTGTTCTCTCTATCCAATCCAATGGACACCTCAACGTCCATCGCACCCATCAGAAAAATCACTTGGGGCTGTTTCAACAACGTCGCAGCTTTTTGCAAATTTGGATAATTCAAATTAAGATCAACGTCAGTTATAACAGCACCGACGTTCTCATTTGAGGAGCTTGTCGCTGTGGCGAATTCGTGAAGAGTTTTAATCAATAAATTGAGGGTAAGAATCGTCAAGAAAATAACTGAGGAACCCTCAAATACGTTCCTGTTTTTTGCAATTTGATCATATTTATTTAAATTGACATCAAGATCGGCGATCACTCGTTTTTATTGACACACATGTGGACAAAATTCAAAACATTGTTTTCTTGATCAACTTTATCATCAGGGAGGAATTGTGCGATTTTGAAGCCGGCTTTTTCAAGTTCGCTTCTAACAGCCGTCATTCCGAAATAATAAATAAATTTCTTTAGAAATCCATTGTAGATAAAATTACAAAATTTGATACAACTGATAACCTTTAGGTATACACAACGAATTCAAAGAATAACTGGGGAGTTTAGGGTAAAAATTACCCTAATTATTTTGGCTTTTGGTTCTTGCCACTTTCAGCCACAAAATTCCATAGTTTTTCACAAAAAAGAGATCTCTTGCGTTTTTTCGATACAACTTACCGTTTTTGAGTAAAATCAGTTTACAACTTATCCTACAGACCATAAAGAAGATAAAAATTAAATTTGTTTTACAGTTTAAGACGCCCGTGATTAAAAATTTCACAAACACAAAAAATGTTCTTTTTTTCACAAAATAAATTTACTGAGGCCAAAAAAACGGAAAAACACAGAAAATGTGACTCCGAAATTGAGTAGATGTATCCAGTTTTTTTGATTACTAGTTTAAAAGGATTTGTTCTCGCAAGAAACTATTCCAAATTTTATAATATTTGGTCAATGATTCCGAAAGTTATTACAAAAAAAATAAATAAATTTCCATACCCACATTCCGAGGGCTGTAAAATTCTTATCTGTATACAGTATGTTATTGAAATGCGTTAAGAAAATTTAAACGGTGATAGAACGACTCGATGACACGGAATACGGTGAAAATAAATGTAAGTATAAATATGAGTTTTCGAAAAAATGGTAAATATAGAAGTAATTTGTTTTGATGAGTTCTATCACCGTTTAAAATTTCTTAACGCATTTCAATAACATACTGTAGAGATAGGACACGAGTTATTATTTGAATTAACATCATTTTTGAGGTTCAAATTTTGCTTCATATTTATGAATAATCCTGTATAATTACAATTAATTAAAACAAAAAAGGCGAGACTTTTGGGAAGATACAAATCGTGATAATTCAATTCGTATCTGGTGCCTTTATTTTTTTGAGATGGCAACACTGAAAGATAACGATAATCGATGGACATAACCCTAAATTTGCCTGCTTTAAAATCCCTCACATATAGATAACGGTTTGAATAATGCAAATAGGTCACCGTTTGGAATAAAACATGAATTATTTTTCAGTTTTGGAAGTAATTAAGCAAAATTCATAATGGACAGCATTGGTGAAGCTTGCAACGACCTGAAAAAGGACTACGATGCTTGTTTCAATACTTGGTTTTCAGAACATTTCCTAAAAGGACACACAAACGATTCCATGTGTGCCCCCCTCTTTAAAGTTTACCAAGAATGTGTTAAAGTAAGTATTTTTAACATTTTTCTCAAGAAAAAATAAAATTTCTTTTTTCAGAGAGCAATGAAGGACCAAAAAATTGATTTTCATGAAGTCGAAAAAAATTTATTAGGAACTGAACAAGAAAGAAAACCACCACAAAAAAATAGCTGACGTTGGTCATCTTCAGTTTGCTCATGGATGTGTTCAAACTTAGTCTCAAATCAAGCCATTCTGAGTAGCGAAAACCACCACCAAGTGCAAGAAATGTCGCATGAACCACAATTTGATGTGTAATAATGTAACTGTTATCATAAAAAAATATACTTCTAAAATAAAAATTCTCTTGCACTTGTCGTAGGGGAAATCAAAATGTCTGATAAAATTGCATTTATTTTCGCTTAACACTACCATTTTTATCTTAGAAAGGAAATAAAACTTAATTATTTTGTAGTATTGTAGTCCTACAATATAAAAAAATGACAAAACAAAGTAGTTTATTCAGCTTCCTCTTCTTCCCTGTCTTTGTTCTTATCCTTTTTCTTTTTCTTCTTCTTCTTCTTTTCCTCCTGTAAAAACTTATAATTTGCGCGACAAATATAAAAATACTTACCCCATTATCTTCGGCAGTTTCTTCTGAAACTGAAACTTCAGCCTCGACTGTCTTTCGTTTTTTCTTCTTTTCTTTTGGACTTGCTTCAGATTGCATCGACGTGTCTGCTAATTTGCGCTAAAAACAGGAAAATTAATTGATAATTGACAAAATTTATTGACATACTTTTTTCTCATCCTCTTCATCTTTAACGTCTTCTTCTTTCTTGACTCTGGGAAAAAAAAATGTAGCAATCATTACTTTATTTATCAATGAAAATACTTACGAATAATCAACGTAGCTATTCAACCACTCTTTTGGTGTATTTTCATTCGGTTTTCCATACTTGTCGAGTTGTCCTTTTGCAATAAGAATTTTTTTCTGACTTGTACGTGGCCCCAAGCCCCATTTTCGGGGGTAAGTGTCTCTTTCCATTATAACACGTTTAATTTTCGCAACAACTCCATGATCACAACTAGCTATTGTTGCTGTAGTCATCAGTGCAACACCTAGTGCTATAGCTTCCCCTTTTGTTGTTACAATAACAATTTCTTCATTTAGTTCAATATTATCTTCGTAGCGTAAAATACCCGGTAGTAGGATTTTAGCCCCATAACAAACAGCGTTTACCTGAAATTATGTCTCAGTTTTTGATAATACATAAGAATAATAAAAATTACAGAGCTATCTTTCATTATTATTCTTTTGTGTTTTATTAAAAGGCCTTCCAAGGGTCGAATCACTCGTCGTAAGTAAGTTTCATCTTTGTGATTTTCGTAAAGCCATTGAGCGTCTAAAACATCATGCATTGTGGCCATTTGGTCCATTTCGCTTTGAATTCCTGAACGAACTCTTCGGAGTTCCAACATTTGACCCCCAACGCCCAAAACCAAACCCAAATGAACACACATTGTACGAATGTAAGAACCAGCTTCACAACTAACCCAAAAAACACCTGAAACAAACATAAATAAATGGTAAATTATATCATTTGTTAATGCCCTCGATGCTACGCATCTCGGCTGTAAAAATGTTTTCTACCGTGTTTTATATAGTATTTTTTCACGTTTTAGTACGTGGTTCAGCTAGAAACGTAATTATTTTGCAAAATTTCGTTCAAAACAAGCTGAAAATTCAACAAATCTGGCCAAATATGGTGTTTTTTTTCATTTTCCGAGTACTTAAAAATAAAATTTTAAAAAACAGTTGAAAAACTAAAAAATTAAATAAAAATTGATATTATTTTTTAGCGTATTTCGCTCGACTTGCTTCGTTTTTGAACCCAGAGACTGATTTATTTTGCAAAATCTTTTTCAAATACGACTCTAAACCACAAAAATACGTTGAAATTGTTTGCAATTTTTTGTTTATTTTACTCGATTTAATTGGTTTTTGAGGAAAATTAAATCAAAAATAAGCCGAGAAATCAATTTTATTTTATTTCTCGAGCAAAATTTTGTTAAAAACAAGCCGAAAAATCACAGAATTAGACCGAGAAAGATATAATTTTTGCGTTTTTGGAGAATTTAAGGTCAAAACTCCTTTTTTGCAAGAATTTGTCATAAAGAGTCAAAAATCAGTAAACAAGCCTAAAAATCACAAAAATAAATGGTAATTGATATTATTTTGTTTTTATCGCTCGATTTACCTATTTTTTTGAACAAAATTAAGTCAAAAATAATTCATGCTTCTAAGCAAGTTTTTGTACTAAAATCTCCAGTTTTTAGCACGATTTCACTAAAATAAACCACAATCGCAAAATAACGTCAAAAACTACATTATTTTTCCATTTCTCCAGTGTTTTAACACGTTTTTCAGCAATAAACTCAATTACTTTGCAAGTTTTGTTAAAAACAGACCGAAAAATTACAGAAAATGATGTCATTTTTGCGTTTTTCGAGATTTTAAGCTCAAAATGATTTTTTCTTGAGAGAATTTGTCATACTGAGTAAAAAATTACTAAATTCTTATAAAAAAGATTGTTGTTTTTATCTGATTTTAGTTTAAAAGTAAATAAATAGTATCTTATGTCGCAATTATTAATTCCCTCGATGCTACGCATCTCAGATAATAAACAGCTCGACTATATAACGTTTTTTTCAGTACTAGAACATTTATTACCCAGAAATGAAGTGAAGAATATAACCGAACTTAATGGGCATGTTGTACAACAGCAAGCCTAAAAATCAAAAAAATAATTGTTTATATCGATAGATTTAACTGTTTTTTTTTTTTTAACAAAATTAAGTCACAAAATCGGCCTAGAGACCACAAAACTGTCGAAAATGTTTCTAAACACGTTTTTGTACTACAATGTCAAGTTTTTCGCAAGATTTCACTAAAATACATCACAATCGACAAATACACTCAAAAATTACATTTTTCCATTTCTCGAGTGTTTTAGCATGTTTTTCAACAATAAACGCAATTTCTTTATAAGTTTTGTTCAAAACAAACCGAAAAATCACAGAAATAGGACGAAAATAATGGCATTTTTGTCTTTTTAAGCAGATTTTTAAACTGAAAACTCGTTAAATTGTTACAAAAAAAAGAGATTATGTTATATTTTTACATAACTCTGAGGCTTTAACCACTCAGTTTAAAAATAATATATGAATTAAGGTAATAAACAGCTCTACTAATAAATACATAATTTTATAAAAAAATATAAACAATATAAAATTAGTGGTATTATTATTATTTGAGATCTATTAATATTTGGTTAAGTTGTAAATAATTAAAATAAATCTAGTCTAATACTACATTATATCACACGATAGCAACGAGATTTTTTTATAGCCGAGTAATAATAATAAATGCGAGGACATAAAAATCTTCTGAAGTAGTGAAAAAAAAACAACATAAATATAACACCTACCCATATTTCGGCTTTCATCATATTGAAACAATTTGCTGTCATAGACTGTGCGCACCCTCAATTGTCTTTTAACAGCTGAAATGAGTGGAGGTCTTTGAAATAAAGCCCCTCGAAGTTTCTCCAATCCTTGGAGCACCTTTGGGGTCCCTCCTGGAACACTTGAGTGCAATTTAAACACAGCAACGTATTCTTTCCCTGCAGCTTGTTGAGACTTTACCAGTCTTGTTGCACGTTCAATGCACACAATTAAGCATCCTGAAATTGATTAATTAGTCATAGAATAGTAAAATATCCGTTTTAGTTTTTAACATTTCATGGGTTTGTAATCTAATTCCCGACCATGGGATTAAATAACAATATAATTATTCGCAATACCTGTGACTTTTGGATCTAGAGTGCCTGAATGACCTGTTTTTTCCACTTTTAAAATCCTTTTAATCCAAGCAACGACTTCGTGACTACTTGGATTGCTAGGTTTGTCGAGGTTTATGTAACCTGATTTAACATAATCAGAAATTTCTCGTCGTAAAGGCGAAGAACCAAACGGTAAAGGGACATAATGGTTTGTCCTGACATTTAAACGGTCAAAATACTGGAAATTAAGGTTTAATATATGAAAAAACCGGTTTTAAGACTTACTTTTAACAAAAGGGGCCATTTAGAACTATCCAATTTTGCAATCACTGAAGAGGGTTCAACAGCAAATTCGGAGGATTTTTGTATATTACCCAAGTCTTTGTCACTTTTACTTTTCTTCTTTTTCTTTTCCCTAATGGGGGTTTCCGCCTCTGTAAAAATAGAGAATGAGGAGGCAAAGCGGCCGGCATTTTGAGAAAAATCAGAATTTTGTAAGCTTCAAATAAATATTTATTGATTATTATTAAAAAAAATTCAAACACTTATGGTTAAAATAAATAATAAATTACCAAATTCAGACATGGCTCAAATAGTTTCAAACACGTGCATTCATCAGTAACACAACAAAAAGTTAGGTTACGTTTTTGACAACTAACAACAATTTTTGACAGATTATCATGAACATATTTTATAATTTGACCAACAAAAACAAAAAAAATCTAAAGTTACGTAATGTTTCGTTTCAAATTGAGTAAATGTGTGTTTGGAATATCGTCATTTTCTATTTTTGTTTGGTGTTATTCTAGGGATTTTCGTTGCTTTTGGTTGTGTTTACTTATAATGCAGATTGGCAGCAAGGATGATAGAATAGACAAATTAGAGGATTGATCAGGGGTCAAACTTACTAGTACTATTTTTGATTATTATTTGCAATTAATTTATTAGATAAAATGCTAGTACTATAAACCATCAACGTATAACCAACCTTTCCTTTTGTCATGTTGATATTTGATGTTAACTATTCTTGCGCGGAGGCTCGATTTTCCACTTTTTCTTCACAAAAAAATTCAATTTATTTAACAAAAGCAAAATATGACTCACAGCAGTTTTATTTATTGTTAACGGCAACAAGTAGACAATTTTTTTATTTTTGCATTCTCAATTGCGATTTATTTACGTTGGTATTAAATCTTGCCGCTTTCTTCAAATTAAAAACAAGATTTTTTAAACGGAAAACTTGTTTTTGCAATCTCTTCACTTTTTGTCTGGATGCATTCAACTTGTTTTTTAGTCTAAGCAGTGTCTGTTTCTTCACAATAACAGTTTGCTCCTGCATGCTAGAACTTCGACTAAAAAAGCATTAATTAGTCTAGAAATGATTATAAGGTTTTCTTACCTGTAAGAATGATCTAGCTTTAATGACTTAATATGAAGCTTAATAAATGTTTCATTCGCCCTATTCCACAAAAATAAAAATATAAACTATGTTTAAAAATTCTCTAAAAATGTAAACATTTACATGCCTGTTAAAATCTTTTTTATATACCTGGTTTGTACATCACTGCTTCCAGTTGATGTTGAAGATGAAGACGACAGTGATTCCACTTTTAATTCTAAAGGAGACTCTTCTAAATTTTCTTCTTTAATGGAGTGCAATGATTCCACTTTTAATTCTAAAGGATCCTCTACCAAATTTTCTTCTTTAACTCTTGATCCATCAAGAATTGGTTCTGCAGTAAATTCCAGTTCTGTCTTTAAATAAACTTGGGGAAATAGAGAAGGAATTGCATCAGGTTTTAAACATTTCCTGTTTTTATAATTCAGCAAATAATCGTTGTCCTCAAAATGAAGTGAACAAATACGATCATTTTGGGAATCTGTTAAATGAGGCCGCCCAATAACTCTTTTCCATTCTATTTCTTTCTCCTTTGGAAATCTAATAACCAAAAAGGTAGGTACATGCATATAGTCTATTTTTTTATTATTTGCTGGTGGGGAAAGTATGAATCAAGAACATGACCTTCGTCTGTATTTGACATTTGACAGCTTCTGACATTTTGGTACTAGAGTCAAAAATTAGTTTCTCCCTGGCATTAAGTTTTTATAAACCTCATTTTTTACTCTTGTCATGTTTATGTCATTTTGACTTAGAAAATAGCGTCATTGACAGAAAAGTTTTGGATGATTTGACATTCAACTGACATAAAAATGTAAAACGGGCCTTAGGCATTTAACCTCACTTTCGGTTTTTGTAATTTGTATCCTAATAGCTAGAGAAAAAATGACAACAAATCAAAATAATTTATTGAACTTATATAAAAACACGTATTGCTGGGAAAATCGACGCCAAAAATAAGTTTCAACTAAAACTTTCAAATTTTAGTTTCAAACATCAATCATGACAATAAAGCGTGGCTTACATTGACATTTTTGAACTGACATAAATTTGATGTCCAAAATTCTGTGTATTCGGAAAGTTATATTTTTCTTTTTTTTTTACCTATGAAAACTAATGCCCAGAGTTCTAGAAGTGCTTTTACAGTTCTTTACACAGCACATAGGCATTTTAATAAATGTACACAAAAAACACTCTCACAATCGTAAAATAATACACGCTGCGTGGAGTGCGCCATTTGGTAACCAATGATACCAATAAAAAAATCTCAAGAATTTTATTAATATCCCTAGGCAAACTGGTATCATGAATTGGCAACACTGGTGCATCAATTCGTTTGACAGTTATTTTGATAGCACGTGTGTCCCGGTTTTCTATCGTGCATTCCCTCTAAAAATAAGCATAAAAATGAATAATTTACTTCGAGTTGCGTTCAGATTCAACTACAAAACATTTTTGAACCCTGTTAAAAAAGTCTCGAACACTTTTCAACAGCGCCAACTTGCACGTAATCTTTGGTACATGTGCAATTCCCGAAATGATCCAGAAAATAAACTGAGCAAATTGTGCACTTGTGGATGCATGAGCAAACATCAACATGCACACAGTAAAGGTAAACATGAATAAAATGTAGTTAGTTGGAAAAAATTAACTATTTTTGTAGCTGAAACTGAATTGGTTGAGTTTCTTACTGAAGAAATTGTCTTGGAGAGGAAAGCACAGAAATCAGCAACTCTTCCAGCGGAATTGGACGGTTTTAAAGTGCAATTAAACGGAGCTGAAATTACTTTAACCAAAAAAACGGAAACGGAAACGTGAGTAAAGTGTTAGCCATTTTGTTACTTCTAAATTTTAACTCTAGGATAAAAATCTCCTTCAACGTGAACCACACTGTTGATACTGATACACTACCAAAAGTGGATTCAACCATGGATGAACCCGAATTGGGAGAATTAAAATCAAAGCCAGCATTTAAAGTTGAAATTCTGAGGGGATCAACAACTTTCAGTGTTTTCTGTTCATTTCTAGACAGTGACGACCAAGAGCCAGGTACCATTTTAAAGTTTTTTTTTATAAACGAAAATCACCAAGTCAAAACTGGTTTTGTCCCTAAAAATTAATTATTAATTATTATTATTAATGATATTAATCGTTATTTGGACAAAATTTGATAATGTGTGGCTTTGAGCGGCAAAGCCGCGCGCCTCCCCTATAAATTTTGACAATAGTCTTTCCGCAACAGTCTCCCCCACTGTCTTTTACAACACGATGTTTTAAAAAATTCTCGATTGAAATTTTTTTAGTTTAAGCATTTCTTTAGAAATTTGTTTTTTAGTCTTACGTTACCAACCTTGGTTGAAATATCAAAATTCATAAAGCTCATAAGAGCATGAGCTTCTTGCTACAACAACTTTAATGCAAAAATTGGTTTATACATGAAGATGGGCAATAAATTTTGTGTGATTTATTGAAATGAGCTCAAAGTTGATGCATATTCTAAATTCTTTTTCAGCTTTAGTTTCAAGATTGTTACTTTTTCATTTTGTTTCTCAAAAATTTATTGCTAAATTTTAACGGTGATATTTTCCTGAATTCTGTTGGCACACTTTTCATTTTTTAAAAAAACGTAGTTGTTTTTTAAAAACGTTTTTTTTTAAACGGTCCCAACGTTAAGACTGTTTAAATTTAGTTTAAAAAACACAATAATTTTTTAAAATTAATATAATAAATTTCCAGGTGGTGATATTTTTGGAGTAGACGAGCTTAGTATTTACGATGGGGCATGGAATGAAAATGTTTATGCAGTTTCTGGAGAAGTTTTAGATACCGTAAGTGACCCATTATAAACAATTTATTATTAATTATTGGTTAACAATTTTCAGCACTTATATGATCTTATCCTTAACTACTTAGAAGAAAAAGGAATCTCGAACGAATTTGTGGGAAAATTGTCCGATTTTAGCTCAGCTTATGAGCATTCAGCATACATTGGTCTTTTAGAAGGATTATCTAAGTTCGCTTCTGGGAAATAAATAGTTTAAGTATGTAACAAATCTATAATCAATAGGTCTAAAGTTTTTGTTCAATCAATAAACATTAACATAATTTTAATTATTATCTATTTCCATTATCACAAGATTAAACTTAAATAGTAAAGTTATAAATTTTCATGCACAGGTTGTTTGTGGGCCAAATAAAGCGTAACAATACTGCCCAACGCACTTACTAAAAATATCACGTCAAACCAACGATGATAGAAATTAAATTGTAAATCCCCTAAAACTTGAGTAATGATAGTTCTGTATTGTGGTGGCATATTCATTCTCATTAAAAGAACTGACGATACAAAATACATGCCCATTATTTGAGCTAAAATAAGCACAATAATGTTGGAACTTTTGCTTGAAGACATTCTGTTAAAAAACTGAAACAAAAACAAAGTAGTAAACAAAAATCCTATTTAGTTTAACTTACTTTTGTCAAAGTTAGTAGTAAACCTCGAATTGATGTAACAACAATACAACCAACTAAATAAAACGAAACTTGTTGGGACCAGAAATTTACATCAAAATTGAATCCCATCCAGTGTATGGCAATTTCAATACCTCGTGTTACAGGATCCTTTTTTCCGACTCTGTCAAAAACTATATTAATTGTACACTAAAATTTAATTATTTCTATGAACAACGAAAAACTACATTACAATGATCTTACTATAAAAATTTTCCAAGTACAATAAACTGAAAATATGTATCCTAAAAAATTAAAATAGATTCCTTTCCATGTTTTTGACCATTCAATTCTTTCAAACATATTACGATTTTCATGTGCTTCTAAAAACAATTGCCTACTTAATTCTTCAAGGCCTGCTATTTCCAGCTTCAGTTGTGCTATATCTAAAAATAGATTAATTACAAGTGATCTACAGAACTGATTTTGACTATACCTACTTTCTTGGTTTCTGTTGTTACCACTAGGATATATCATACTCCATAAGCCAGTTCTTCTACTCATCCCTTCGTTGATTTTTTCAAGAGATTGTCTTTTTGCAATAGCTATGCGTTTCTTTTTAATAACTATCATGTCCATTGCTTGCATTAGTCTTTTCTCAATATTCATTACATCAGTAAGAGAAACGTCTCTAAAAAGCAAATTTGTTTATGATTAAACTTTAGATATTATAATAAAAATAAGCACCTAATAAAGTATGCCATTGATGTGTATGGATAGTTAACAGCCCCAAATCCAGAAAGGAGCGCCATAACAGTCACCCCTATAACCCCAATTCGTGAAACTAACTGTTCCATTGATAAGACCCCCTGTTTGGGGCTTAGAATTGGGAATGGGTCACCAAATTTCCAGAAAATTACTATAAATATTATCCATACTAATATGGTTAAATGCTTTATATAATCAGGCTTAACTACAATTCAATTAGTAAAAGCTGCAAACAATTTTCAAGTCTTACCATATGGGGTGTTACTAATACAGTAGTAGGCAATGTAAAATGGGTTTAAAACAATTACCACAAACAATAATAAATACAGCATTAGGCACCAGTAGAAATAGCGAGAGCTTAAAAATAACACAGTTACAAAAACTACGCACCTAGAGGTAAAAGCTATTATTACCTTGCCTCCAATAGTTCTAAAATTTCAAAAATAATTAGTTCAAACATTGTACATGATAATGTCAATGTGATTGAGAAAATTAATTGTACCATTATGTGTCGGACTTCATAGTCTTTGAATAATTGTTTTACGAAAAATATCCATGCTCCCACGAAAAAAGTTACCTAATAAAACAGTGATTAATAAAAAAAAACAAATAATACTTTACTTACCTGGGAAAGTAACACAACTATTGTATCTTGCAAGAAAGTCATTATTGTGAGGTTATTACATGTTCTATTTTATTTTTTAATCAAATTTGAGTCTTTACAAAAACTCTACGAGAAAATAAGAATTTCATTTCATTTCTGTTACAATTTTAAGGTTAGTTTTATTTTTTATTTTGACAGACGTCAAACGTCATTATAGGAACTAAAGCTACCTTTACAATCGAAAATTTATTGTTTAATCAAATTTGGGTCTTTACATAAAACTACGAGAAAATAAGAAGAACATTTCATTATAATAGTTACAGTTTTACGTTTAGTTTTATTTTTTGTTTTGATTGATACCAAATCTAAAGATGCATTTACAACAGAAAATACCGGCTGATGAACAATAATAATAATAATAATTGAGTTAGCAATAGAGTTAAGAGCTTTTATTTGCAATTAATTATGAATGAATGAATTTTATGACTTGACAACAACTGGGAATTAGATGATTACTGAAACTATCTGGGAAATTATTACATTACATACCCGGAGAGAGGGTTGCATAACTCTGATGAGTTAGGTTACGTGTTGTTATTTGACATTCTTTATTTACCAACGAACATACAACATTTAGACTAACGGTAATTGTTTAGATTTTTTTGACAGTTGTTTTTTTTGCTTTGCTTACTTTGACTTATGTTTGTTACATCAGGATATTAATTAAGAATTTATAGTACCATATTGTCATTTTTAACATTGGATGATTGCGAAAAATTTAAATTATACAAACCTCGAAGCGGAAGGCTTCTTTTCCTACTTATTCAATAATATTGAGTTTATTACATAATTATTATGTAATATACTATTGATTGTGCTTCTGATGGGTTATAGTACTTATAGTACAGTTTTTTTATTCTATTTGTATTATAAGCAGATATAAAACAAACACATTCATATTAATCACACTAAAATATTCTAACTTCAAAAAAATTACCATTAAAAAGGCAGTGCCTCGGCTGCCGGCAAAGGTTCAAATTCGTGGTTATTTTAGCATTGGCGCTGTGGGCGGTAGCAGCTTTCGATCTGTCAATTACAAAACATTAAAATATCAAAAGGGTACCTGGAGGCAAAAGATTATTAGAAGAAGCAAAAATAATTTAATTTACATTCTGAGAATGTGTACTAGTAGAAAATACACCCAAATTATGAAATAAAGAGGGTTTTAGTTGTTGATGATCTCTGAGGTTAATTTTTAAAAAAGTATTATTGGTATTGTTTAGAAACACTATTTCGAACTGTGAAAATACAGCTAGGTAGTGAAATTAAAAAAAAAAGTAAAACTAACGGCAAAACCGTTGCCAGCAGCGGAGGTACTGTTTTATGAAAATGGTCTAAACTTCTGATAAATAAACAATTTAATTTTTCAAACACAAAAACGATGTTTACAATCCAGTTGTTTCAAGATCCAATTATTATATCCAATTATTCACACTTGAATAATTTTGCATACAAAATTGTAATTCATTCTGGAAATCTCTTCAATTTCTGTTACTATAAACTGCGTTTAATCATTTTTTATTTGCTTTAATCACTTATAATATTAATTATTATTAGATATTGAAGTAGATAGATAAATAAGTTATTTATTCGACAAGTTTGAGTAGATTTTTGAACCACTCATTTATTTAAACCGCACTCATTTATCTATTTAGTATTCAAAAATAAATAAAATTTATTTATTTGTGGCAGGATTTTGATCAACGCCATCTTTTGGTGAAAATATTAACCACATAGACCTGCCATGTCTATTAAGTGTTGACATAAAATTATACTTATCGCACTTATAATATGTAAATATGTAACTATTGGAACTTTTTATTATGTTTATTAAAATTTATTATTTTTATTTCCATTTATTTCCATTTAAATTTTTCGTATTGAATTGTAGAAAATGCTTATTCACTGCTGGAGTATAAAACCACTATCCAAACATGTCATTTTTTTTATAATAACAACATCTATAAGCAATACATAAATGCATGTGAATATCCTTGTTGCATATTTAACGTACAAAAATGAAGAAACTATGTACATATTATTTAAAAAAGGAAAAGGTAAAATAGCAAAGAAGAGACAATTTTTAATTAAAACATCATTATTTATAACAATTTCATAATTTATTCCGTAAAATAGATAACAAAGCTGATAATCCGGTTTTGTTGTCAACCAGTGACATATTTCTCAATAATCTACACATATTATTAGTACTTTCAAACTAAGAATTAAATATTTCCACTTCTGTTTGAAAATTGATTTTTTTCTTCACTCAATACCGTAAAATCTATAACTACTAACAGCTTCAAATTAAAATGATTAAAAATTTTGTCGCCTTTTCTAAAATTTCCACTATAAATGTAGTAATTACCAACTGAGTCATTTTCTTCGAAGGTCGATTATAAGAGTTTGCTTTCGGGTTCTCCACAATTTTTTTTTTCACATGATGTTTGAATAAAAAGAGCCCCCCACCCCGGAGTGATTATTATTCATCGACTAATAAAAATTTGGAAAGTTTTTTAGCAATGTGCAGCGGACCGAAATGGATTATTTTTTGCATTCGACAAACAAAGAATTTAGAATAAATCAAACTTTTTTATAAAAATCTTCTAGAAGTAATCTTTTTTAATTCGAGGTGTGATTAAATCCAGTCTAATTCCAGGAATCGGCAGAAATTACCGTAAACATTGGTGGAAATTTGTTCTAAAAAACCCCAACACCTTGGCGTAAAATTTTACGAATTTGTCATTATGGTAAACCCCATCTCAAGAGCTTATGTACAAACAATTACAGTAATCGCAATAATTACACAAGCCTAAATAGTATATTATATCACAAGGTAGAGAAGAGCTGTTTCTTACCGTAAGTGAGCTGTCATTTTCTTATTATCGTGTTATTTTATTCTTAACGAAAATAAGGTTATATCATATCTTTCACCTCTGCATTTTCTAACTTCATAATGTAGAATATTTGTTAAAATAACATAGAAACCAAAAAAAAAGGAAAAAATGTATAAAATACAGAGTGGTTATAAATGATTTTCATCTAGCCAGCTTTGGAATATTTTTGCATGTAACTTTATTTGTGCCGCTCTACTTTTTTTGAAAGCTCTAGTTCTGTCATTAGTGTCACTTATTAATTAATAATAAATTGTTGTTAATTAAACTTTTATTGTTTCAACTATTTTCCAAAAATAATTGATAATAATGGATACTTTGGAAGAAAACAAGTTTATAATTGAAGTCTATTTTCGAAGTGGATGCTTAGTAAACGGCGATTTTTTAATTTTGAGTTAAAACAAGTAGGTACCCCTATTTTCGTAAAGCGTCATTTTTTATTTTACATGGAAAATCATTTATAACCACTTTGTACTACCGATAGTATTTCAAAATAAGCCTTTTTTTTGTTTTAACAGTTTTGTCAAAGACAGAAGAAGTAGAGGTGGGGTTTTTCTATTTTTTTAATAAACAAGACATTGTAATACCCTCCAATATCGGTATTTGTCCACCTCTAATACATTATTACCCTTGGTCTACAATAAAAAAATTATTATTGATTATTAGGTGGGTAACTTTACAACATTTCGACCAAATAAAATAATATCTTTTACAAATAGTAGCGAAAAAATAAATAAATAAAATAATAACACAAAATTCAAAAAGAACTGTAATGTAGCCCAATTCATGTGCATTTTTAATAACTACACATTCCTTTACGTAACATTACAGAAGTTACAGGAAACTTAGTTTTTTAAGTAAATTAATATTGTTCTTAAATTTATTCATAATTTTCATTATAATTCTTACGTCAAGGTTATTTTTTTTATAAAATTATTGCAAAATGTAACCTCGCTAAATGAAATGAGTCACGTAGCCGACAATGCCACAATTTTTTAAAATTTCAATTAATTTCAATTTTTATAGGGCCTGTTTGACCCTAAAACCACAGCTTCACATTTTCAGTTTTTTCCACTTTATTTGGCAAAGATTTTTTCTAATAATTTCGGGATGATGTTATTGTGTGTGAAATTACCACATCCACAATTTGAACGGATCCGTTCTATATTCCGTTGGACTAAATTAAATTGCAAAAATGTTAAGAGCGAGAGAGTTATACGTAAAAAGCAAGGATAATTGTAAGAAATTAGAAAAGGGAGGAGTTAATCAATGCCGTGACGTCACTATTAGAATGAAATATAACACACAAGATCATGTAAACTCCCGACAGTTGTTTGCTTTCCCCACTGAGAACAGGGGTGTATTGGGAAATTTTTTTCTAACTGAATTTTGGCGGGAAAAGTGTGAGTTGGAATTTCAAAAATTGTTGCGTGTTTTGTGAATTTCGAAATGAAAGAACTCGCAATTGCAACCAACGGCATTAGTCAAGAAACACAAATCGTGTGCCCTTGTAAAAATAAAAGTGGTAAGTAAAAACAAAAAAATTAATAAATCAAAAAATAACAATGTAGAGTTTTCATGTTATTGCACTCTGGTATTATTCCCATTAACATAAAATAATATTTAAAAAAATCCCGTGATTATTGAATTAATATTTAACTTTTTTGTTATTACTCGTGCATTGACACGTGTTAATACGCAAGGTGTTTCAGGGACGGACTAGCATTTGCAAATATATGCCTCTGTTTAGTGATTTTTTTTATTTTGGTGATTTATTTAATTTATGTAATCATTATTTTCTTAAAAAGTCAATATTTGAATGTTTTTTATTTCCTATACAAGGTGAACAAAAGTATGGAACCAAGCGTTTTTTTTATCGTTTACCTTCATAAAATAATAATTAATAAAAATTAACGTGATAAAAATGCAACTTATGCCATTTGAAAACTGAAAAATAATTCGAAAAATTTTATTCTTGGTAAAACATCACTAAATCATTCCTCAATTAGCTTTTTCAAAAAATAAATAATTTGCAAGTATGGTTCCACACTTTTTGTTCTTCTGATATGAAAAAAAAAAAAATGAACAGTTCAGATCAAGGTTATTTTTTTAAATTAAATTGAAATTAAGAGTTCCACATGTTAATAGAGTATTGTTAAATTTTTATTTCCACGTTTTAAAAAAGTAGGGTTGGAGATTCCAAAGTTTGTTTTATAAGTAAAAATGTGGAACTATCAGACGATGTATTTGACCTTT